AGCAGTGGCATTACTAGGGTTGGTGTCACCCAGGGCGGCATCTTTGGTATGACCCCCCATGAAATCCAAGGGCAGGGGGGATGGAGGGGAGTAAACTCCACTTACATCACTACTGCATGCCCAGTGACTAATGTTTAGCAATGAGAACGTTTAAGGGCCATAAACCGAACAGGAGAATACTTCTCACCTATATTTATGATAAAATAAATAATCATTACCTGGAGTTTACCTGGAGAGGGTTTTTGGGCCAATGCCCCCATGACTTGGTCTGAGACCAGGCCTCATGGTTGGTCAGGGCCTGATCAACCAGGCTGTTACTGTTGGCCGCATGCAAACTGACGTACGAACCACAGCCTGGTTAGTCAGGTACTGACTTTAGGTGCCTGTCCAGTGCCTTCTTGAAGACAGCCAGGGGTCTATTGGTAATCCCCCTTATCTATGCTTGGAGGAAGTTGAACAGCCTTGGGCCCCTGACACTTATTGTATTGTCTCTCAGTGTACTCATGGCGCCCCTGCCTTTTATCGGGGGAATGTTGCATCTCCTGCCGAGTGTATATTATCATGAATCTCTCTTGCTGGCATTCTACAGAATACAGATCAAGGACCTTCAACTATTCCCAGTAATTTGGGTGCCTTATCTTACTTATGTGTGCTGTGAAGTTTTTTGTATTCTCTGCAGGTCTGCAATGTCGCCAGCCTTGAAGGGGGCTGTTAGTGTACCAGCAGTATTCCTGGTTGACGAGAATCAAGTGATCTGAAGGTGTCATCATGGGCTTGGATCCCTAGTTTGAAGGTTCTCATTATCCATCCTGTCATATTAGCTGATGAGGTAGATACAGTGAGGTGAGATCCTTGACATTTCACTCCTTCTAGGTCCTTCACATTTCTTTTTCCTCTATTGTATGGTTAGAATTGCTGTATACCCCTGATCATTTTTTAATTTCCTCAAAGTTTTCATATTTGAGTAGTTAGAAATTTCTCCTCGTTGAACTTCATATTGTTTTGAGTGTACGGTTTGAAGATTTGGTAGATGTTCTCTTAGGAATTTGCAGTGTCTTAGGATGGCGGTCACTGCCATGTAATCGGGTGTTCATCTGCAAAGTAAGACATGGAGCTGAAGCTAGGCTGACATCTCTATGTTCAGAAATGAGGAGAGGAATAGAATGGGATCGAGTAACTGTGCCTTGTGTGGAACAGAGTCTGTTACAGTGGCTGCGGGGGTTCTTTACTCTGTTTACTATGACTCTTTGTAGCTCTATTTGTTCAGGAAGTTATAGATCATCTACAAACATTTCCTGTTATTCTTTCATCACACATTTTCTGTGCTATTACACGTCACACTTTGATTCCCCCCCCCCCCCCCCCCCCCCACCCCCCCCCCCCCCCCCCCCCCCCCCCCCCCCCCCCCCCCCCTTTCCCCCCCCGCAGGCCTTTTGCAAAGTCTGTGTTACTACATCTGATTTTGTTCTCTTCAACTGCATCCAGACCTTGTCATAGTGGTCCAGTAGATGGGACGGGCAGGGAGTGACTGCTTAACCCCCGGTTGCCCTGGGTTGTGTAATTGATGGGTATCTAAGTGGTTGGCTATCTTGCTTCTTAGAGTCCTCTCAAAGATTTTTATTATATGGGATGTTAGTGCTATCGGTCTGTAGTTCTTTGCAATGCTTTACTTCCACCTTTGTGGAGTGGGGCTGTCTGTTTTTTTAAGTGTGTAGGATAACCCCTGTGTCCATGATCCCTCTCCATAGAATGCTGAAAGCACATGATAGGGGCTTCTTGCAATTCTTGATGAACACGCAGGGCCCCAATACTAGATGTTGTTTTTTCCTTAGATTTTGCATGCTTAAGTGTGTGTGCACATACAAGCATTTCTGTGTTCTCATGTTCAGTATAAGGAGTGTTAATGTGATGCAGTTTTTTATCTGTAGTGTAGGTGCAGCTCTGGCAAGACAGTGATGCAGTGAATGATGATCAAAGTGTTTCTCCTTTTTCACCTCCTGCTGCTGCCTTGGTGGAAAACCATCCATGTCTTAATAAAACGAATATTGTCTTCATTTAATGATCAATTATCATTGATGCATGTGTCAAATACATTCATTGTCATTGCTGCAGTGTGTAAAGTAGATCTATTCAGTGATGGTTGTGTCAATACATCAATGTTATTGATGCCTGTATGTCTAGGTAGCTCTATATCATTGATGCCATGTGTCACTGCATCCATTTTTCATTGATGTCAAGTGTCCATGTTAGATCTATATCATGATCCCTTTTGTCTCACATAATTTATTGTAATTGTGCTTGTGTTTTGTAGATCTATTCCTTGATGCTTTGTTGGTCACAAATTCTATGTCCATTAATGCCAGCTGTCTTGTACATCTATGTAATTGATGCCAGTGTCCCATAGGATGTGTGTCACTGATGTCAGTGTGAGCAGATCACCATATTAAGAACAATCAACCTTAATTTCCTGTTCTGGCAAATTTTACCTAGAGGTGAGAGACTGAGTCAGATAAACAGTGTGCACCGTGCACTCTGAGGTTAGTGCATGTGGTTCAGGACAGTGTGCACGTGTACCTGAGGTGAGAGACAGGGTCAGGACAGGTGTTGCACAGTGTACCTGAGGTGAGAGACAGGGTTCAGGAACAGTGTGCACAGTGTACCTGAGGTTGAGAGACAGGGTTCAGGTACAGTGTGACAGTGTACTGAGGTGAGAGACTGAGTCAGAACAGTGTGTGCACAGTGCACCTGAGGTGGAGAGGAACTGGTCAGGACAGTGTGCCACAGTGTACTGAGTGAGAGACAGGGTCAAGGGGGGGGGGGGGACAAGTGTGCACAGTGTACCTGGAGTGAGAGACAGGGTCAGGACATGTGACTATTTGGGTTACCTGAGGTGGAGAGACTGATCAGGACAGTGTGCACAGTGTACTGAGTAGAGACTGAGTCAGGGAAGTTTGTCACTGTGTACCTGAGGTGAGGAGTCAGAACGGGTCAGACCGTGTGCAACAATTCCTGAAGGTGAGAGACTGACTCAGGACAGTGATGCACATTGTACCTGAAGTGAGCGACTGAGTCAGGACAGTGATCTACAGTGTACTGAAGTGAGACTGAGACCAGAACAGTGTGCAGAGTTCCTGAGGTGAGAGACTTAGCAGGACAGTGAGTGTGCACAGTGTACTGAGGTTGAGAGGAGTGAGCAAGGACAGTGGGCTACAGTGCCCTGAAGGTGAGGATACTGAGTCTGGATGGTGTGCACGTTGCACTTGAGAAAGTAAACCACTGACCTTGTGCTTCGTTTAATATAGCAACTTTGTGGCAAATTCTGGGTTTGTTTGTGTACTGGAGGAGAGTTCCAGGGTGTCAGCGCCCCGTGCTTGGTCTGTGACCAGGCTCCTGGCAGCTCAGGGTGCCTTGATCAACCAGGTTATTACTGAGTGGATGCACCTAAATCAACGTAGACCCACAAACCGGCTGGTCAGGTACTGACTTTAGGTGCCTGTCCAGTGTCTGCTTGTAGGTAGGCAGGGGCCTGTTGGTAATTCCCCTGATGTATGGTGGGAGGCAGTTGAACAGTCTTGGGCCCCTGACACTTATTGTGTTATCTCTTATCGTGCTAGTGGTACCCTTGCTGAGTCTTTTGCTTTCATAGGGAGTGATTTTCGTGTGCAAGTTTGGTACTAGTCCCTTTAGTATTTTCCAGGTGTATATAATTGAGGTGGTTTATCACAGTTATTGCCCACCGTGAAGGTTCTCTGTACATTTTCTAGATCAGCAATTTCACCTGCCTTGAAAAGTGCTGTTAGTGTGCAGCAATATTCCAGCCTAGATAGAACAAGCGACGTGAAGAGTGTCATCATCGGCTTGGCATCCCTGGTTTTGAAGGTTCTCATGATCCATCCTGTCATTTTTCTAGCAGATGTGATTAGTACAGTGTTATGGTCCTTGAAGATGAGATCCCCTGACTTGATCACTCCCAGGTCTTTGACATTAGTTTTTCTGATTTGAAATTGTTTTATACTCGGATGAAGTTTTAATTTCCTCACGTTTTCCATATCGGAGTAATAGAAATTTCTCATCATTGAACATCATATGTTTTCTGCAGCCCATTTAAAGATTTGGTTGATGTCTGCCTGGAGTCTAGCAGTGTCTTCAATGGAAGACACCATCATGCAAATTCATGTGTCATCTGCAAAGGAAAACATGGCACTGTGGCTTATATCCCTGTCTATGTTATAACAACCCCACACAAACACATACACCCCCCCCCACCCCCCCCCCCCCCCTCTATGATATGACGATGAGGAACAAGATGGGGGAGAGTATTGTGCCCTGTGGCACAGAGCTTTTTACCATATCTGCCTCAGACTTTGTTGAATTCTACTCTTTGTGTTCTAGTTGGTAGGAAATTATAGATCCATCTACCAACTTTTCCTGTTATTCCTTTATCACTCATTTTGTGTGCTATTACACTATGGTCACACTTGTCAAAGGCTTTTGCAAGATCTGTGTATATTACATCTGCATTCTGTTTGTCTTTTAGAGCATCCAGGGCCTTGTCATGTGGTCAGTAGTTGGGACAGACAGGAGCAAACCGGCTCTAAACCAATGTTGCCTGGGATGTGTACAATACTGATGGGGTTTCTAGATGTGTGGTGATCTTGCATCTTAGAACCCATGCAAAGATTTTTATGCTATGGGACGTTAGTGCTATCAGTTTGTAGTTATTTGTATGCTTTATGCCCCCTTCATGGAGTTAGGGCAAGGTTCTTTTGTCTTTAGTAATGTAGGAAGACCCAGTGCAGTGTTCATGCTCCCTCTACATAGGATGTATAAAAGCTCATGATAGGGGCTTCATTGTAGTTCTTGATGTAGGGGGTTCATGAGTTGGCCCTGGCGGCAGTGTTGAATGGGCATCATTTATCCCTTTTCAACGTCATTTGGTACAGGAAATATCAGTTAGGTGTGTATTACCAATTCTGCTCTCATTGGAAAAATTTATTCAGGTCTTCGACTCTCCAGTTGTAATACAGTTTGGAGAATTACGACAATATGTAATAGGAAAAGGACACAAGTGCATCTAATGTGACAGTTATTTGGGAAAACGTTTTCGCTCTCCAGGAGCTTTATCAAGCCATTACAACCAATACATGGACACAGAGGGAATTTAAAGGTCAGAGTGAGGTGTATTTACTAGGAAGGTTCCATTTCGATGTTCACTAGTGGTAGTAAGTCGTAGTAGTAGTAGTAGTAGTAGTAGTAGGTAGTAGTAGTGGGTAGTGACAAATGTAACAACAATATGGTAGAAGCAATTAATTCGTACATAAGTAAAAAGGATATATATAAAGCTTTTATATCCTTTTATCTGTCACGAATTAATTGCTCTACCTTATTGTATTATTTTGTCACTACTAATTCTAATACTACTACTACTTCTACTACTTACTACTATACTACTACTACGATACTACTACTACTATATACTACTCCTACTCCACCACCATACCACTACCACCACCACCAACTAGTGAACATCGAAATGGTCCTCACTAGTATTAAACCTCTTCTGAGCCTTTATATACCCTCTGTTGTCCATGTATTGTTTGTAATGGCTTGTAAAAGCTCATGGAGAGCGAAAACGTTGCCCACAATAAATGTCAACATTAGTTGCCAACTTGTGTCTTTGACTCGCAGTTTGGTTAGTGGCCTGGCTAAAAATCTCATGTCCCATTCTGGCTTTTGAGTTGCTCACTATTTCCTTGCTTTTCTTGTAGGTCCCATTCCTGTTTAATCCCGTATAATGGGTCCAAGCTTATCTTACGTTCACATGTGTTGAGAGCTACAAAAGTATCTCTAAATTTTTTTAATATTTTCAAATTAACAAAAAAAAAAACGTAGATCAAGTTTTTACACATTTTCAAATGTAGAAAAACAAAAAGATCTACTTTTTTTACATACAGTGGACCCTGCATAATGCTATTAATCAATTTCCTGAACGCTCAATGTTATGCGAAATTATCGTCTGTGCACATTATTTTCCAATAAGAAATATGGAATCAATTAATCCGTGCAAGACACCAAAACGTAGGAAAAAAAAGTTTTTACCACGTGAAATTGAAATATAATTTTAATACACTCAAACTTAAGAAACATGCAAGTTACCATGCATTACCTTTTATTGTTAGATGTGGGGATGATTGATGGGGTGGGAGGAGGGAAGACTGGATGATTTTAGTGTTCTGATGGGGGTATCCCCTTCCAATTAAGGACTTGAGGGTTGTAAGTCCTTTTCCGGTGTTGCTTCCCTTCTTCTTATTTTTTAATGCCACTAGGACAAGCTTCAAGAGTCACTGTACTTCTGTCGCACAAATTATCTGTCCATAGTGCTTGTACTCTCGTCCTTTAGGAACTTTCCTAAAGTGTTTTCAAAACCGTGATCAGTGTAATAGTCACAGCACGGCTTGCAATAGCTGTGTGAGGGTGATTTTTTCCATGATGGTTTGCACTTAAAGCCACTTTGCACAGATTACCTTAATCTTTGAAGTAGGGCAACTTCTTCAATTTCTCTCTCCCTCCTCCGAAGCAATTTCTCAGGTGTGGCCTCTTGCTGTTGAGTTGATCTAGCAGCTAATCCAGTGGTTAGTTCTCATTGTCCTCCCTCCACCAACTCTTCCACATCTTCCCACTAACCTCTAACCCCAGTGCTTCCCCAATGCCAAGTTGATTACTCAACTGGCATACTCCTCTCAGGGTTAGCCTCATTCCGTCAAAATCCCTTTGGTCTTACACATTTGGCCACAGTTTTCCAGGCAGAGTTCAAGTTCCTCTTAGTCACTCCCTCCCAAGCCTTCTCTATAACGGTTTACACAATAGAGGATATTAATGTGATCTCTCCAAAACGATTTAGAGTCAATTGAGTTTTGAGGGTTCACTTACAAAGCCACCCTTTCAATTCAGAGCTTTTGTGTACAGTTTTTTGAAGTTTGCAATAACCTGCTGGTCCAGGGGCTGAGGAGATGAGTGGTATTAGGAGGCAAAAGCTTCACCTTAATGAAAAAGCTCATGTCCCCACAAAGTCGCTTGCCAAGTCTGTAGGATGGACCAGGGGCATTGTTTAGCACCAGAGGCATTTCAGGGTCTAATTTCTTTTCAGTTAGGAATTTTTCACAGTTGGGCAATGCTTGTATTAACAGTCATAGAAAAAGTCCTAGTGACCCCAAGCTTATTGTTTGCCTCCACAGCACACACAAAATTTGCTTAGGATATTCTTTTGCCTGAACGCTTGGGAGTTTCAGAGTTATACACTAATACAGGCTTCATTTGCAATCACCCACTAGAATTTGCACACATGAGAAGGTAAGCCTGTATTTAAGGCTTATGTCCTGGGAGTGCCCTTTCCTCCTAGTAATGTAGGTCCCTGCTTGGCATTTTCTTACAAAACAGGCTGTTTCGTCACAATTAGACTCTTGTTCAGGGTTACAGTCCTTCACTGTCTATGTCTCCATGAATTCCTGCACATATTTTTCAGTGCTTTGTGGTCCGAACTTGCAGCCTCACCATGATTTATCACATATGCCACTACGCTCTTTCAATCTTCAAACCAACCTTTGATGGCTTAAATTCACTCACTTCACCACTAGTTTGCAGGTATTTTGCTCATTAAATCCTCGTGCAACTTCCTAGCCTTTGCATCTTATGATTGCTTGAGAGATGCTATCGGCCTGCTATTGTTTTTTGTTTATCCACACCCAATAACAGTCTCTCAACATCTTTTATCACTTGCCGATCTCTTGTTCGAAGCACAGTTAACTTTGGCAAGAAACAGCTTCTTGATGGCGTTTCTTTGGACTCTATAGTAGCGATGGTAGATTGGGGTGTTTACTATACAACCTGGCCAGCTCAGAGACACGCACTCCACTTTCATAAATTTAGCAATGAGCTCTTTCTTAATCTCCATAGTAATTCTCATCCCTTATTCCCTGTAGGGTTGGCACTAGAAGCTTTCTTGGGGGCCCATGGTCTGCTACTATTTTAGGTGAAATCCCAATAAAAAGGCTGTAGAATGCAAAATGTTCCCCGATTGTATGCTTGAAGGTTACCGGGAGGGCTGGCTTTGTAAACAAAAAAAAATGCCACTGGCCAGAACCAAGTGAGGCTGGCTCAGGCGTCATGGACGCGTCTCAGGACGAATTGCGTTGAGCGAATTTTTTAGCGCTATGCGAGGCCAAAAATTTTAGAGATAAAATTATCGCTATGCGGATTGAAGCATAAATTATGCGGGGGGGTAAATTACTTTCAAATGTTTGAAAAATGTATAAAAACGTTTGGACCGTTTATGGGATAAGTAGGGCCAATTATTGGATGGTTTGTAGACTTAGATCTGGAGTTTACCTGGGAGTGTTCCGGGGTTAACGCACCGCGGCTGGTCTGTGAGCAGCCTCTGGTGGATCAGAGTCACTGATCAGCCAGGCTGGTTGTGCTGGCTGACGCAAAACCAAGTACGAGCCACAGCCGGCTGGTCAGGAACTGACTTTAGGTGCTAGTCCAGTGCCAGCTTGAAGACTTTTGCCAGGGGTCTGTTGTATATTCCCCTTATGTATGCTGGGAGGCTGTTGAACAGTCTTGGGCCCCTGGCCACTTATTGTTAGGTCTTCTTAACGTGCTAGTGACACCCCTGCTTTTCATTGGGGGGATGTGGCAATCGTCTGCCAAGTCATTTTGCTTTCGTTAGTGAGGGTTTTCGTGTGCAAAGATTGGTACTAGTCCTTCTAGGATTTTCCAGGTTTGTTATATCATGTATCTCTCCCGCCTGCAATTCCAGGGAATACAGTTTTAGGAACTCAAGCGCTCCCAGTAATGAGGTAATTTTATTCCGTTAATGCGCGCCGTCGTGTGAAGAGTTCTTGTACATTTTCTAGGTCAGCAATTTCACCTGCCTTGAAAGGTGCTGTTAGAGTGCAGCAATATTCCAGCCTAGATAGAACAAGTGACCTGAAGAGTGTCATCATGGGCTTAGCCTCCCTAGTTTTGAAGGTTCTCATTATCCATCCTGTCATTTTTCTAGCAGATGCGATTGATACAATGTTATGGTCCTTGAAGGTGAGATCCTCCGACATGATCACTCCCCTGATCTGGCATAAGAATAAAAATACTTTGGGTTTCTTTCAATTTCATTTATGGCTTTTAGTTCTTGTCACTTTTCTTGAGTCCTGTAAGATTCCTTTAGCTTTAGTTCGATGCTTGCTATTTCTCTGGCCAGTGTCTCCCTACGCATGGCAAATATATTGGCGTCTTGTAGCCGGTCTGTTATTCTTTGCCTTCGCTTGTATAGGGAGCACTTTTATCTTTCTAGTATACAGTGGAACCTCTACTTGCGAGTTTAATCTGTTCCATGACCTTGTACGCAACTGAATTTGCTCGTTTGCAAAGTCAATTTTCCTCATTTAAATTAATTGAAATGCAATTAATCTGTTCCAGTGGAATTCTGTACTTCAATAATTTCGCTAATATCAACTCTACAGCTTATTTATCTATCTCACTTCGTCAAATATGACATAATAAACAATATAAATAACATAGAAACCTGATATATACTCTAAAATGAATAAAATACAGTGGGACCCCGCAAAATCTGGATCACCTTACCAATGCGACCAATTATGTAAGTGTATTTATGTAAGTGCGTTTGTACGTGTATGTTTGGGGGTCTGAAATGGACTAATCTACTTCACAATATTCCTTATGGGAACAAATTCAGTCAGTACTGGCACCTGAACCTACTTCTGCAATGAAAAAAATATCGTTAACGGGGGTCCACTGTATCATTCATGTAGTGGTTATGGGCGATGTCGGCGGTGGACGAGGTTTGTTCGGACACCGGGCAAAATACTTCATGAATAATTTCGGTAAATATCATCTTTACGGCATATTTATTATATCACAGTTCATTAAATATGTACATAACCAGGACAATATAAATAATTTGAAAACACCGATATACACTTCTCTGAATAATAAAATATGTCATTATGTAAAACCGGTGGAGGCAGCCACAAACGCTCCCTCTTTGTTGTGGTAAACATGC